TATTTTCATCTGGTGGCATGTTAGGCAAGACCCAAATCCAGGCTTTACATTCATTTCATCCTGCTGCGGAGCTCTCCTGTTTATATCTGGAGCAAGACACTAAAAACAAAACAAACCACAGCTTCCAAATGAAAAACTGTCATCACAGAGCATAGTCTTGCTGCCTTTGGCTTTGGTCTGGCTCTTTTAGGAGCTCGTTTTCATCTCAAATGGGTTTACCATGGTTTAGTTATAGACTCTGGGTACAGAGTTTCCTACATTTTTAAACTTTTGTTGTGTCAATCTCAGTAAGTACTTTAAAAAGAAAATTCTACCCAACCCAGCTGTACCAAAACCACATTTTCTTTCTGGTTTTATTTTAACAGTAGCTTACAAAGAACAACGAGGAGACCTTTGCCTTGGGAAGAAAGAAATTGCACTACCTCTGAACTAACCTAACACCTGTCAACCAGCAGTGCTTCCCACAAAAAGACCATGCCTTGAAGCTTAAATCAGGAATCTTTGGGATGAGAAGAAATCACCAGGAAATAAAAAAAGAAATCATTTTGCCAGGTTAGATTTGAATATTTGCAGATGGCTTGCAATACCTACTTGTGCAATATCAAAACAAAGCAGTGCCTTTTGTAAAAGCTTCAAATCAAAATTTAAAAAGTGAAATTACAAAAATTATCAAATATTGAAGTTATTGATTTTAACACAGAAGTTATTATGACTTCCCTGATCTCCTTTTCTGTTTTCTCCCAGAAATCCTCATACAACTAATGCTTACTGGAAGAAATGTTCAAGAGAAGAAGGGATGTGGTTAGCCATATATGAAGTGTCAGGTCTTTAATTTTGTTGAAATTTGGGTTCGTTGCATTAGATCTCCCTGAATACGTCAAATCTTTGCTCTGAACTCAGACTGCTCAAGTCCGTGCACTGAACAAGCTGGTCTTTGTTAGTTCATGGCACAAACAGAACCCAGAGACAACAAAATCAATTTTTATCAGTTTTTTTTCAAAATTGTTATTTACTGAATTCAACTCAGTGAATACTTACCTTATAAAGAAACCAGAACCCACAGATTTAATAAGACCTTGAAATCAGCATTGGATCACTGGAAGTGCAACATAGTAACAATGATAGTAAATTCCAGTATTAATTCATACATACTTTAATTGCTATTTTAATGATACAATAAATCTACTGAAGCTTTTAAAGATTTTTTTTTATTATGGTTTTATCTGTTTATATAAAACCACCAAAGCACTTCAAAGAATCATGCTTTCTTGTGTAATACATAAAACTAGTTTCGAACTGTGCTTCTGAAAATCTATTGTGCTGTTTTTCAAGTTATTTTACAGATGGCACATTTAAAAAAAAAAAAACAACGGAAGCACGAATTTCTAGTGACTGCAATGCAACATGGCATCCAAAACAAGATGTTTCACTACAACTAAGTTAAAGTGTGAGTGCATCATGTAATAAACAATAGCAGTTTGGTCATTTTAATCTTAATTCTGTTTACAACAAAACTAACATTTGTGCTTCACGACCTAAAATCCCATGATATAAACATAAGTTCTCCGCTGCAAAAATCCCAACAAATTACTGTCTGAAAAGAAAAACATATCTAAAACAGGAGACCAAGTTTAAATCTACTCACTTTCTTCAAGAATTGCTATATTTAAGACTAATATGACATACAAGACACAATAAGGCACAATGGGTGGTACAAATGAATGAATACAGTCGTCCATGAAACTTGTTCTCTTCCACAAATACTAAAATATGTACCGCTTAAGATAAATTTTCTCTTAAAAATGAAATACATCATTTTGTTATGAAAGTCCTATACAAAAATTTAAAATTTACACCATCTGAGCTGCCAAAAAAATAAAAAAGTGTATCAATTTTCCACAAAACTATATTTCTCACCAGCACATCCAACCACTGGGAAAAAGATACCCCAGCACTCTGGAAGAGAAAAGCATTATTTCCCCTGTGTTTAAGACAAAAATATTGTATTCTGCATACAGTAGTGTGTTATACTTAAAAAAGCCTAGCACTATTAAAATTACAACATTGATTTGGAAATTATTGGTTCACTGCCTGGATGAAATAAGGCACTTTCTTCCAGTGGGCAGCACTTTTCACATATATGGAGATGATGAATCAGGTTCTGGTTTAAAACAAAAAGGGGTTCAGTGAGGTCCCAGGAGACGACAGGAACATTTCAACAGCAGGGGAAGACACAGGAGGTAAAACCTGGAGATGAAACTCTACACAGAAGTGGTCACTCTGTCAATGGCATTATTGACCTCGTTTTTGTTTGAATCCAGTCCTTTAGCAGCATTCATATCATTCCGTAAATTCTCCACTGTCTTTTTCATGTTCTTTAATTCTCCAGGGTGTGGAGTGGCTCGCCTTAGAAGTGTTCTCTAAAAATAAACAGCGCAATAAGTGGTTTTGCCTTCGTCTCTTTGGAAAAACAACATACACTTTCAAGGCTTTAGCATTCACATACCAAATATTAGGTATTGATTTTTTTTCTTTTTTTCCCCCCTTTTCCTTTTCAAACTATGATGCTCTATAGCAAACAATATTTTCATAGCTGCTTTTTTATGAAGACAGTGAAAGAGGTCTTAAGAACTGTCTAGGAGCAAATTGTTTCCTCTCTTGACCTACTAATCTGAAAGTCACTCAAGTGAAGTACAATTACAAATTATGAAGTGAAGATTCTTTCATAAATATAGTTAGGAATTTTTTTTTTGTTTTCCCCAAAAAAACTATCCAAGTGATTTAAGATCACATGTCAAACTAACAAACATTCAGCTGGTTTTGAAAGAATCCCACAAAATCTTTTCACGGTGTCAAATACATGTTTGTGTGGAGCTCTGTATGCCTTCCAGTCCCACCACACAGTTTGGTTCTCTTGTCAATTGAGAAAAAATATCTTGAAAAGAAGAAGAGGGAGCATTTCTCTCCCATCTTGGACGCAAGAACGTCTAGCACCATTGTGCTGAAACCTTTACAAGGAAAACAAAATTTACAAAAACCCCAGTTAGCATCCAGATTAGAGACCAATAGAACACCAAGAATAATTGCACAAATATGTATCAGTATAATACATATATACATGCAATTGCTTTTCAGTGGTATACATGTAAATCATGCAGATGACAGCAGAACTGATGACCCATAAATGGGTGCATTGGTCAAGACTGCTTTGGAAATCTGCCCTTCCTCCTTCCCAGTAGGATCATAAACTTCTTTTTCCCCTGAAATGGTTCTTGCCTCAAGTCAGGCTGTAATGCCATGACTGAAATCAGTTATCTCTAACACCTGAGCCCTCATTATTGCATGGACATTCTCGGGTTGGCACAGTTGTTAAGAAGCACCATTCTGAACTTCCTTATCAGTCAGCCTATGACCCACGCTTGTTGGAGACATTTAGTTTCTGCTCCTTTGGATTAAGCAACCACCTTATCTGAAAACTTAGATGTTCATTTCCCTACTAAGTAACAATTTTCATAGTCACTTTTAAAAGTAAGACTATGTTTCTAGTATGCTACAATCCAGACAGTGCCCTGAAGTATCTCAAGCTGAGCTCTAATGAGGACCACCAGCAAGTTTTTAGAGCATCAAAGAAGCATGCTGCAAATCTGATTGAAGCAGTCTTAATCTTTACAAAGAGTTTTAATTGTTAGTGAAAGTTAGTAAAGCTAAAGATCACATTGCATTTTGATCTTCAGGACATGCAGAGCCCAACTTAATGGAGAGGTCTTATAAGTACAGTGACAGATGTTCCCACATGCTTTGTTTAAGTGGGAAACTAATGAGCAACATTCTTGCTGTTTATGGACATTAAGGTTGTTTCAATGCAAATGGTGGAAGGAAAAAAAAAAAAGCAAGAGAGAGAGAGAGAAAGAAAGAAATTGAAAATAGAAATTAGAGCGACAAACAATGGCAAGCTTAATGGAGACACATGCCAGAGTGCTGGAATCCTAAATTTGACCCTATATACTTTCAGGCAGTAAAGCTTCCCAGATGCAGAGAAAGATCCTATCTTGTTTCTGGAAAGAAAACATCCTGAGCAGACACAGGAAAACAAAACAAAGACTATCCTGCACCAGAACATAAACATTATATTCAAAGCAGAAAATAAAAAATAAAGGCACTTTAAGTCAATATGAAAAGTTTTGACAGTCAACATGAACACAAATGTATGCAAAAAAGCATGAAGTCACAGCTGAACTATTTACAGCAAAAAACTTCAGATATTTTATTTTTTACAATTTTGCATTAAAGTCACAGTGCCTGCACGTATCCAGAGGTTTGGAAAACATACCATTTCATTATCCTCTTCATCTTTTTCATCTTCTAAGAAGCGAATTGCACTGACTCTGTTCATTGCCCGCTCATTCCATGTTTCATCCGACATTTCATTTACCAAACTCTCCAGTGCACCACATCGCGGTAGGTTATCTGTTTAAACAGCAAAATGCAACTAAAGATTCGCAGCATGTCTGTGTACAGTACTGATTACATAAATTAATATACTTGACACTATATATGCTCTTCTTTTGGATCATGGCTGCCATCTGACATTAGCCAGTTCCATAAATGGCATTCCATAACACAGGATCATTGCTTTTACTGACCTCATCCTTTAATGCTAGGCATACACGTCCAACAATCTTAGTTCCAAGCCTTCTACCCTTGAAGCTATGACATTCATTTGGAGAGGAAGAAATCTGGGAATTTCTAGTAGAGAGGCCTTTAGAGAAAGTCAGTCTACCTGCTGCTCTTAGGCTAGCTTAATCTTCTCTAAATCAAAAGGGGCTAAATAATTTGCTTATTTTAATTCTTAATGTATTTCTTACTGTATTCTTAAAATACAGAAGCTGACACAAAACAGAGCCATTTTTACACTTCTACTGCATTAATGGTCTCTGTTTGCTCTAGCTGTATAGTAATGAAAGAGTGAACTTAATCTAGGTAGGTTTGGTACCTGCAATACAGATACCTACAGCTGTGCTTTTCTCCTCAGGCCCCTTTGTACTCAGTGGAGAAGAATCCACAAGATTTCTTTTAAAAGTCTGTTCTTGGATGGGATAAATTACTCTCCAGTGATTACGGCAAGAGTTTAAATATTAGCTCAGTTGAATTCCCTTGAAGGTTCACACATCTCTATAAAAGCCTGAGGACAAAAATCATCCAGCAGTTACTGGAGCAGCAAGCCAGTCAACAGTGAAAAAGACTTTATGGTTCCACCTGGCCCAGAGGCGAGTTTCAGCACAAAAAGTAAAAGCAACTTATACTGCAATTCTACACCTGTTGAAGAATATAATAAAGTTATTGTACAGCATCTTTGAAAGAAAATTGGCTTGCTAAAAAGTTAAATGTCTACTGCTTATTACTAGCTACACAATTATTTTTCTGGTAAAGAGACTGTAGTTGGAAAGCCACCAATTTTCACTACATATATATGTATTTAAAATGTATAATCAATGTACACAAATATGGACACTGTTACTTGGCCCACTGGCAAGCCTCAGAATAATGATATGATTACATCTTCTTCTTCCAGGTCTGTATTTCATTTATGGTAGCTGGTGTCATTGTATTTTCAATAACACTCACAGCCATGATTTTCAAGTCTTCTGAAAACTAGTATGATTACAAAAAAAAAAACACCACAAAACAAAAAAGTTTGAAAGTGAGAATTCAACCAGAATTTTGCTACTTCACTCATTAGAGCTTATGCATATTTTACAAACCTTTATGGAACAGACAACACAGTAAACAAAGAAGTAGTACTTCTATATGTAACGAAAAACTGGCTCTAGGCACTTACCTTGGCAACCAGGCTCAGAAGGCATTTGAGGAAGTAATACACATGTTAAAATCTTTTCTCCTGTTTCAGGGTCTGTATCAGTCTGAAACGTCAGCAAAGGTTGTGACTGGTTATCAGACAACCACAAAGCTTTCAGCTTTAAGGTAGTCAGTGAAAGGGGAAGATACGTCAGCCTAGTTCAAAAAAGAAAAATAAAAAAGTCAGGGCAATCTCTAGGAGGCTTAATAGATGGTCATGAAGTCGACTCTTAAGTATTTTATTCCTGAGTCAGAATAAACAGGATTGAGATTAATGCCTTTAATAGAAGGCACTACAGTAGTCATCAACTTCAACTACTTCATTCTTTTAAAAAGAATCTGCAGCTTAACTTAAACCATAATTCTCTGTAGCTGTGAATAACAGGTAAAACAAAGCCGAGCTTTTTGTATTGCAGTAAAATGCCCTGGAAGGCAGACAGCTGTTTCTGCTCTGAAGCCTTATATATAAACAATTGCCAGAACAGAAATATGCAAGTGTCTATGAGACAACTCTATTGCACAGAAGAAATGCCATTTGCTTTTCCTCTTTTTTTTTCCCTTTAACTTCCTACTAAGCAGCTGAACTAATGTGCTATTTAATGCTTCAATTCACTCCTTTTTGCATTTTGATGTCTGAAGCATGCAACTAAGGTTCATGAGAAGTCACAAGGTCAAAGTGGCATTATTTGTTACTTGCACTGTATTTCTAAGATAATATTAGTGTTACTTGACATTAAGGCTGGTAATTTCAGCTGAAGCTCTACCAAAGTGCCTAGATTCTCCGTTTTAATTCAGAAATATACAAATCCAGAGGTTTTTTAAAAACCCTATTTTTTCCTCAGGGTCAAAGCAATACAGAAAACGAACTCATGACAACACACAATTTATGCTCCTTTGGGCCAAGGGGGAAGACTGCTTTGACGATTTCAACAGTAATGCTAATACAAAAGTCCTAACAGGCTTCTTGTTACTTCATTCTTAGACCTAATGTCTTTTGTCATTAGAAAGAATTAAGTAAAACTAGCAAAAGAATGTGACAACACAAAAATCTCTTACCTGTTTCCAGCAACATCCAGGACATGAAGTTCAGTGGCTTGTGAAATTTCAGAGGGAATTCGAGATAATCTGTTGTCACGTACAGAAAAGACGTTAAGACTGCAGCACCCTCCAATCTGTATTAGAAAAGAGGAAGAAGAAGAAGAAAAAAAAAAAACACACCAGTCTGGTTTTGTTGCACTATGATAGCAGAAACAAAGGCATGCAGTACGGGTCACGTAATATGTCATAGCGCATTCAAGTTACAATGCCTGCTAGACACTTCACCCAGAGGTACAGACTGCAAACAAGTGTTAGCTTAAAAGAAGCCTGACCTGAAGCAGGTCTGTTGGAGCAGTTTCTTGAACATCTATATCTGCAAATAACGTATATCTTTAAATAGGTCAGATTCCACCCACCTTTTAGAGCCTTCCATGCCAGAAAGAGATCAGTAACCACACAGATGCCACTTTGTAGACAACCCTCACAAAAAATACCAGCTTTAACTTTGGATTTTTTCTAGCTCTATGTTTTACATACTAACTCTTTCTTTCCTCATGGTAACTTTAGCAACAAGCAAGTGCAATGGGGTTCTAGGCAAGGCTAAAATGCTAAATACACCAATCAACTCCCAATGCTTATTGAGTCCACAAAGACTAATGAAGAGTTCACAAAAAGTAGAAGATTCTATGAGTAACATCTTTGATGCCCTATTTTATTAGAAGCATCTAATTTCAAGATGATTCCCGTATGAATTGGCCAATTTAATCTAATATCCTCTGTCTCTACCAACTTATCCAAATGTAAGCATCTGCATTCCCAAGTTAATTTTTGGGTGCAAAGACGGGATTTTTCAGTTTTACCTTCAAAATACGTATATCTTACATCAAAGGTACACATTTTCAGAAAAATAAATCCTCTATATTTGATTTAAAAAAAGATATAAGAATCACATTCCACCTTTTTGTTCCCGATGGCAATTACTACTCCTATAAACACCAAGATTATTGGTTGTAGCAACTTGAAAGCTGCTTCAACTCACTCTTTGTTCCTATTCACAAAGGAAACTTACCTTTGTTTGCTTATCATATGGAGCTTCAAAAAGCGCTGCTGTTTGTTTCCTAGTTCCAAAACTCACCATGAGAAGGGGAAAAAAAAAAATGTTTCTTCTCTTCCTCAAGTATTAGAGTCAAAATATCCCAACGCCTTTTGAAGCTTTAAAGTTAAGTGGACTTAGAACCTAACTATAGGTAGCAAAGCTACGGAAAGGTCTTACTTCAAAAATTAGAGGACTTCTATAGTCACACACACGGAAGAAGGTTCTTCTGTCACACCATAGCCAACATGTCACTATACCTTGGTCAGGAGTCCCAAATCTGAGCTGAAATTATTTATGTATTCTAGTTACCTGTCAGTTCTGTCTTCACAAAGTCCACAATTCAGTCCAAACCCAAGTCTGAGATTACAGACAAATACCACAAAAGCTTTTCCACTAGTCAAAGTAAAAATCGTATCGATTTAATCTATACTATTTACCAAGGAAAAAGTCATTTTTAAAAGCATGCAACTGTGACTTAGAAAATAAAACAAACACATGGAGGATTTATACCCCACTCACCTTCCTTTCTATCATAAATACATTCTAATTGAAGAAAGCAGCGATCAGCTGCTCAAGGCTTCTGATTCACAAGCTTCTTACAGTGCAAAGTTACAGTGCAAAATTCTCTTGACAAAACAAAATCTGGGATGGTTTCCCTTAAATCACTGCAGTCTAAGATGCAGCTATTTGCAAGAGCATTGGCTTTCCTGGCCTTGAGTCTATTCGTGGAGCAGCAACCTTGTTAGCCATTTCAGCTCGTGAATCAAAGCCCTTAGAAACCAGCACTCAAACCGCGAGCAAACATTTCTGAGTGCAATAATTCTGCTGTTCACTTTAAAGCGTGTATAGCTTCTTAACTAATATGCCTTGACACATTCACAGATTACAGTGCCATATAGAAAAAAAAATGTATAGATATACACACACGCTGTCTAATTGGTGTATCTAACATGTGGAGCTGTGAAAAGCAAGAGATACAATTAGTGAATGTTGATGAGCTAGCAAGTGACGCCCTAACTGTACACAAAGTGTTGGCTTTTCCATGAATGAAGTTTGTGTTATTCAGTCTCAGAACATGGAGATCCAAACAGTTTAGCCAAACGAACAAAGTAAAGCCATGCAGCCCTGATGAGATCAAAACTTCTGTAATTTTGACAATGGAAAAATGCAGCAGTGGAACTGGCTGGCCTGAGCCATCATGCATTTAAAGCAGGTTTAATGAAAGGTAACAGTAGAACAGTGGACTGAATAATACTTACAGGGTTATCAATTTACCTGACCCATAATTTTCCAAGCGGCTAACAATTAAGAAAATACAAGAGATGTTCAATTTATTTTTCTTTACCCATACTGGACAAGAGCATGCCAACAAATGGAGACAGAACATATATTCTTCTACTGCCAAAGAGGGTTAGAACTCCTAAGTTATTTTAACTTTGCTCTATCAGTCAATAGACAATTGTTCGAACATTTTGTTTCACTCAGAGGTAGGAAGACTTTTTTTAATACGGCAGTGGAGGGAGATAATGCACAGATACTGAACCCTTTTTTTACGAAACTGTTTTTAGAAAATGCAGGCAGCATCTAACAAGCAGCACTGGGTGAGCTATCACAGAGAAAAAAGACAAGCTGACAGTTAAAAAAAAGCTAAAATTTTTGTCATTTCAAAAAAACATGGCACCCATCCAGCAGTACAGAAAGACATCGGGTCTAATGTTTGAAAATCTAAACACAAACTAGCACCACTGAGGCAAGGTGCACACATTAAATGGCATGCTGAAAGGAAAACATCGTCGTGACCACCATGAGGTAATACAGTATCAGAGCGACACTGGTCTGGCTGAGAGTCATTAACTGACGAAGAGCCATGCTTTCCAAGGGTTTGATCACATGCTTACAACAGACTTTGCCAAACCACCGCATAGGCACCAAGTACACACTTGAGACGACAAGTCCATGTAACAGTTAAGCACACAGGTCATTTCAAGCACAAACTTCAATTAATGAGGACAAGCATGTGCTTAGTTCTAGGCACAAGAGTAACTGTGTTCCAAAGACTGGAGACTTAAAGAAGTCCTCACGTTCTTCTGTAGCAAGCTAGATATCAGGAAAAGGTCTCAAATGAGTTGTGCATGTCTAAGTCATACTCCTGAGATTTATTTCATTCTAGTAATTTTAATTTAAGGGTTATTCACTTGTCTCATCACATCATCTCCAAAGAACAGTCAGCCTAGACTAAAAAAAAAGAAAAACAAAAACGAAACCACAAAACCAAAACCCACACATCAGTCAGGTAGAAAATGATCCATTACTATGAAGTGCTAATTTTGAGATCACCGACTCTACAGTACTGTAAAGTCTGACCAAAACTGCTTATTTGCATTCAGGTTGACTTTCTTCAGCAGATGAGTGTCACTAGGACCCCTCTGGCTTTCACACAAAACTCTACCCCTGTAAAGGATTTTTTTGCTCTTTTCTTCTGTCTCAGTCTGAGGCTCATCTTTCTAACAGCTTCCTTGTTCTGGAGAAGCAGCAAGACCTGGACATACATATAGAGGATGTCAGCTTGGCTGACAAAACTCCCCTCTACATCTGATCATGACCAGCATTCACCACTTCAGCCTCCTGCTTTTTTGACATCCACATACCCACTGCCAATCCCTCCTAAACAGTTCTCCAGAACTGCAAGTCTTATCATATCACTTCTCTGCTGATGTTTCTGATGACTCTTCTCTTTTGCAGACTGTTGTTTTGACACTGGCATCGGTGGTGTCTTTTTGATCATCCGACTTCTACTGCACTTCTCTGTCAGAATAACCTGGTCGTTGCCATTTGTTTTTTCTTGCTGATGACACCCTTGCAGCTTTGTGGAGGTAAACCCAAGAAGAGTATACAGATTCATCTCTCTTTCCATTTAGATCCCTCTCAAAAACTCCCATGTGCTCCCTCCCTTGAGCCCAGCTGTCGGTTACAGTCATTCATCACCACAGACCAAATTTCACTGATTATAACGGTGCATCCTCACCCTGTTGGTGCTCTAAAGCCAAAACACCAAATAAAGGTGGGAAACTTAGAAGACCTTCAGGTTAACATTAGATGAATAATATCTTTTGATCTCAGCTTCTGTTAGCTATTCAAAAGCTATGAATCAATTCTGCTGTCCTTTACCAGTTAGCATCTTTCACAGCGGTATAAGCAATGCAAAAACCCCACAACGTTATGACAAATACTACAATGATTATTCTTGAGCATGTGACTGGTTAAAGTCCAGTGACACACCTCTTTTATTCAGCTCTCAATAAAGCTGTCAGCAAGCACCAAGAACTCTCACTAGGTTTATACAACTCTGAAAAATGTATTGAGAATTTAAACACAGTTACTATTGTGTTGTTTCCAGAGTGTCATAACCAAAATTTGATTTGGATTCAAAGTAAAGAAAGTCAGAATTTTCCTTGGCCCCAGATAAAATAGATTAATTCTTTAACTGCAAGCATAGAACACGTTTAGAGGAGGAAGAAAATGCCCAAATCACTATTATTAGATATTATACAGTTATTATTAACTTTAAATTGACTAGGAAAACCTTCGGCAAACTCACTTCAGCACTCCCTGCATCACCGGTGAATTGCATGGGAGGAGCACAGCAAGAGAGCTTCTCTGCTCTCTGACTCAAGACAAGTTTTCCTGCATTTTTCTTTAGTGCCTTTTTTCCTTTGAGACACAAAAACACATACTTTCACACAAATGAGGGAAAGGACAAGACGAGGGAAGTTAAAACCAAAAACAACAAAGTGGCCCCAACTTGTTTTTTAAAAAAAAGAAAAAATAAAATAAAAAAAAATTAAAAAGCACAGTTATCACACCCAAAAAACTCTGCAGTTTTATCTACGGTAGTCATAATTCTCACAATATACCTCAGAGCCAGGAAGGACACATTACCAGATCTCTGCAGGTTGTGGAGACTCATTAACAAAAGCATATGAACTGGAAAACATTCCAAGGAGGTTATTTATGCAAGTGCCAAAATCAACACACCAGTTTCACCAGCGTTCCAGTGCCAGGGTGGGATTTCAATACCAAAGAGTCACCAGGCAGGTCTTTCAAGTTTAAAAGGAAAAACATTTGTAACTATGAACAGGTTTAGACATTCTCGGTTCTTGCTGAAGTCTGTTTCACCACTCAGTTCAGTGAGAGAGGGACGGAGCTGCAAGATGAGATACCGAAGATGAAATCTGTCAGTGACTCAAGTCTCGGTCATACATTCAGTCATTCCACGTTCTACCTTATATATCGGCACCAGATACAGAAGAACCTTTGAACCAGGAAAACTGTGAAGGGATATTTGCATACAAACTCCTCAATAATCCCTCGTCAAGAAATCTTACACCAAAAGGTATTGACTGGTTTTGCAAGCGTGCATTGGCATTGAAACAATCTGGTAATGTAATGATTTGACAGGTTGACCCAAAATCCAATCCTAGTAAATGCCTCACAAAACAAAACAAAACAATCTAACCCCTCCCCAAATCCACAAAAAAAACCCCACACTACCACAAAAAAGCTAAAACTCATAGATTATCTCACCAGGTTATACTAGAAGCAGGCACATCATTTCTGCTATCCTGTCTATAAAAGCTCTCTTTGCTACAGGAATAATTCTGGAGCGAAGGACAGAGACACGCGCAGGTAGATATAATATCAGTTACCTGTACTCTTCTCCCTAGTAGAGTTCCATTTTTTCCATACCTGTGTTACTAGACTATGATCTTTGTCCCTCTCCAGCAGAAACCAGTAAAGGCCTGTCCCACACCCATTTCTTACAAGGATGAAGACCACAAATGCACAGCTATTCTAGCACTCTGTAAGGCAAAGGCAAAAAAAAAAAAAAAAACCAAGAGAAAGCAGGAAGGAAAAGATTAGCTTTACAGAAACATCAGTATCTGTAGATTTGTCTTATGCTCCACTTCTCCATCTGACTCCGCTTCTGTGAAGGGGGAACCAGCGTATGCGTACTAACACTGATGGATGTGCGAAGGTCTGAGACCCTGATCTTCACCATGCTATCTCAGGAGACACCTTAAGCAATACACAGCAGGCAGGGTATTGAAAGTGACTGCTGTCAGAAGCTCGTGCCTGGCTTTAAATATTGATTAGTCAGTTTGAGATGAAAATAGATGGAAAAGATGGTAAGCTGCCTCACTGTCAAGCAGAACCTTCCAACAAACAGAAACAGGGTGACACATTTTTCAGTTTTCCTTAAGTGCTCTACCAAGGCATATTGTATTATTTTTTTTCCCCAAGTCAATAATGATGAGAAGGAAAACGGAAACTGAACATTTCACCAAGACACCAAATTGTTCCTCCCTGCCACCCAAAGCGAAACATGGCATTGGGATTTTTGCCATTACCAGCCCTGCTGCAGCTGCTCCTGTGGATGCTTTGCAAACAGCACTTGTTATACCTGTGCACTCTGTTCACGCAGAACATTTTCCTTTTAGAGCTACGAAATGTGACTCTTCACTGAATTCCTCTGAATTTTAACCAGAGAACTTGTACCACAGAAATGTTCACTTTTGGTTTAAAGCAAAAAGTTACTGGTTAAGAAAAACACTACACAAAGAAAACGCAGCTCCAGGAGAAGATGCAACATGAGCAGAGAGCAGCAGATTTCTTTCTGTTTTCGAAACTAGCATTTCAGCACGGTTAAAAGACAATCTAAAGACTTTGCAGGAAAAGTGTTTTATTGCACAGCCTAAGCACAAGGAATTGAAACTGAAACTTGAAAAATTGAAACTGAAAAGTCTCGTTAGCTAGACGGTAGGTTCTGCAAAACATGCACATTAATAGTATTTTTGAGACGGACCATTGCATCAGCTGTTTATGCTTTCTATTTGTTACTATTACCAGCTTGGAAATCCAATAAAATCAAATCAAATATGACACCCTAGTTGGAGGAAGACTGACTTCCTTTAAAATAAAAAATAAAATAATTTTTAAAGTCCACAGAGCAAAACATACTTTCATGAATCATTCTGAAAATGTTACACTAAACGTAATTTCAAAGTGTTTGCTCTAATGAGAAAGACACATAGGTGTGGAGACCTTTACAGGAGAAAAAAAAAATAAATCTATTTCAAAGAAGTGGATGAATGCCAAGGAGCTCTGTTTCCTCTGTTTCTCTGCCAAGCTCCCTGGGAACCACCCTCTCCCATCTTTATTTCCTGGACCTTCTACAACTCCTCAGCTCACCTCATTCCAGATACCAGCTTCCATTTCCTCATCACTCACCTTTTCCAAACGCAAACTCATGCCCATGCTTTATTCCACCCTTGTGCAGGTGACTCCTCCCCTCTCTCTCATGTGCACTAATGTTCATAGAATCATAGAATGGTCTGGGTTGGAAGGGACCTCAAAGATTATCCAACCGCCTGCCATGGGCAGGGACACCTTCCACTAGATCAGGTGCTTCAAAGCCTCATCCAACCTGGCTTTGTATACTTCCAGGGATGAGGCATCCACAGCTTCTCTGGGCAACCTGTTCCAGTGCCTCACCACCCTCATTGTGAAATATTTCTTCCTTACATCTAATCGAAACCTGCCCTCTTTCAGTTTAAAGCCATTGCCCCTTGTCTTATCACTACACGCCCTTGTAAAAAGTCCCTCTCCAGCTTTCTTGTAGGCCCCCTTTAGGCACTGGAAGGCTGCTAGAAGATCTCCATGAAGCCTTCTCTTCTCCAGACTGAACAACCCCAGCTCTCTCAGCCTGTCTTCATAGGAGAGGTGCTCCAGCCCTCAGATCATCTTCATGGCCCTCCTCTGGATTTGCTCCAACAGCTCCATGTCCTTCTTCTGTTGGGGACCCCAGACATGTTCTCCACACATATTCTTGTTCTTCACTTCACCCTTTGATATCCCCAACTCCTTCACTGACTGCGCAATGCTTTCCACCTCTGAAACCCACTTCTGGTTCCAAGTCTCCAGTTTCTTGTGTAGCATGAATTCCTTTATTGTTCTGCACTGAACTCTTGACCCTGTTATTCCCTTCAAACAGACACAATCCATATTCACCTTGCTTTACATGCTTCTGAAGCTAAGCCTCCTCCTCTCACCTGCTCCTGTCCCTGCTCCTTCCATGCCGCACTGCTCGCCCCCATGCACCATCTCAAATACCATGAACTTCATTAACTAAGAAAAGCACTTATACACTGCATAAACTATTAATGGCCAATCTGGAAATAAAGTGTACCCGTAACACCTTACACGCTATAACAAACTCAAAGCACTTCTACTTAAACGTGGACTAGACGCAAAATTTTACGAGTCTCAAGTACAGATAGTTCAGGACACCTGTGTAATGTATTAAATTAAGTTCTTTGTAAAGACATGGAAAGTTTTCTGCTAAATGAGTAGAAAATCAAAACTACCATTACATCCTAATCCAGAAAAACAGTTTTCCTGAAGTCCTGTGTCTTTCTAGCATTTTTGCAACCCACTGGGGTACACCCTCTGCAATTTTACATTCAGAATCAGTAGCACCTCTGCACAGGAGACACTGTCCTGCTAGAGGAGCTGCAGCACTCACAGCTTCTCTTCCCTCCCTCACCTTCCTGCCCCGTCAAACATACACTTAACAAGCCCAATCTGTAAAGAAGCAATAAGGGCTATTGTGGAGCCCTGGTGAGGTGACAAACCTGTGGCAGCTCAGACCTGAGCTATTGGAATTGCTGCTGCCAGTGCCACAGCAGCATCCTCCTCTTGAGACCATCGGCTCTCCTCCATCTCCCAGTTCCCAGACACTTCGCTTCCTCCCCACACCCCCTCTTCAAGCTCCATAAGTAAGCGGGCCTGAGCAAAAGTGTGCGCTCAGTAGCTAGAGCTGATACTCCTCTCAATTCCCATCCATCAGCTGCCACCTGCTCCTAAAGCGACTGAAAGTAGTGAAGAAAAGCTGTGACCTCAGAGGCACATGTTAGAAACAGATAGGGAAATTAAGGGCGAGAACTACTGGGACAAAAATTACAGAGAGACAGCAGCGCAAACAGAACCAACTTGCAGTCCCATGCTGCTTCCCCTGATTTCTTTCCAGAAATTACTGAACTAAACTTGTAAGGTCTTCGTTGCATTTAGTTTCACAACAGAAATCCTAGCCTTATTTCATTCTATATACTGTTACAATAGACAAGAAGTCCTAGTAATCATAGCTGTAAGATTTGAGGCATCAGTGACCTTTGTCACATGAAGTACTTCATATTTAAAGGGAAAAGTAGTCCCTGAGATCTCCAAAACTAAAAAGACTGTCAAAACAGTCTCTTGTTAATTTTCCAGAATATGAAACCTTCCCTTTGCTATTGCTTATAAGAGCGAGGCAAGGAAGACACAAGCAATATTTTTGTTCTGCATGCAGAAGAGGCATACTGGTGTTTAAATGCATTCACTCTATAACAGAACTCCCAGTCTTCAAATAGTGCTGGACCTGACACCCACTCATCCACACTGGGAACGACTAGTTACAGGCTAATTAGATCCAAGCCTTCTTGTTCAACAGCCAAGACATTTCGCACTTCCAAGCCACCAAAATCACCACAGCTGCTGTTCAGATCTAAGGGACAAGTTTCTGGTTGTGATCTGTTTGGGAAAAATACCCAGTGGATCAAAGCTGCCTGCTACTTCTTGTAGGCATTCGAAATAAAAAGTTTTCTGTTTGTATAATGACATCGGTGAGAGTTAATTGCATAAAACTTACCTCTTTGGGCAAAGATGTTAATTTGTTTCTATCGGCATTCAAATTGTTCAGCTTCTTTAGTTTTCCAATGCTCTTCGGCAGTGACTGTACCAACAAAAACAAAGTAATATGCAAACAGAACTTGTAAATTCATAGAATCGGAACAAAAGTTATCTCATTTTAAAATGAACTAATTTTAACAGACTTAACAGACTTATTTATAGATTTAATAGGTTATTTACTTAATAGAATCTATTTGATTTAATAGACAGATCCATTTTCAAAACTGGAGTGTAGTTAACCCTCATTACTACCTGGCCTTCTAAAGGAGATCCAAGGTTTTACCTTGCAGAAGAAATGTCCAGGAATGTCAGTTTCTAATACAAACTCACTCACCAGTTATCTCTGCACTAAGATGACAGATGCAGAACAGCTGTGTGCAGAAGAGTATATGCAGAATGCCCATATTATCTAACTTTAGGATCCCTAAATAACTAATTGAGAGGCAAGCTTCTAACTTAAGTGCTATGAGCTGACCTCTGGAAAGGCATCTTTCCAACAGGCTCAAGCTCCTGACTCAAACAAGTACCAACCTAACTTAAGAAATGCTTAAATCTAGATTTTTATAAATGCATCTACTCTCCAAGTGTCAGTGTCACGCAAAGGCAGTTTCAAAATAATGGAAGGAAACAGCTAATGGAAGGAAGTCTGAGATTTTATTTTAATTGGCCACATATCATATTTAATACCCGGCTGGAGAAGATCAGCAGAGCAAGGAACAGTACAATAGCAGCTCTGCAGTGCTCTGGGCTTCTATTCAGGTCCAGCAAGCCTGGTCCAGATAACGTACAGCAAAAACTGGCAATACCGCAACGCGGCACAAACGCCGCATTAAAAACACATGAAAGTAAGTGACACCCGCACTTCACATGCTCCGATTCCCTTACTGGTCATGAAAGATTCAAGAGCGAATATGTAATTGCTCAGGCCTTTGGAAGGGTGGATTGTTACTACACACAACTTGATCTTCTGCATTCATTTAACAGGTAAGAAATAAGACGCATTTAAAGAAAACTTGCTACTTAGCAGTAGCAAGGGCAAGTAACCCTAGGAGCTAAGTGATTCAGCACTTAGCAGCAGGTCAGATTACCACCAGCCATTTAAGCAGCCAAGACCACCCTTACCTGCAGTTGGTTTTCTGTTAGAACTAGTTCAGTAAGGCTTTCGCAGTCTCCAATTGAATTTGTTAGTTGAATAAGTTTGTTCTGATCAACCTTCAAAATGGAGAGCCTCCTCAATTTTCCTGGACAGAAAGAAGAATGCATTTTTTTAGCTTAGTACCCTCTGACACCTGCTTTAATTATAGAAAATTTTACTGCTGCAAAACTTTTAGAAAACCTCTAACACAATGACTTTTTTTTTTTTCAGGTAAAAAAAGAGAATTCAAGCACTGCTTCACTTGGCGCTTGCGTTATTTTGGTGAGTTTATAACATCACTGAATTGATATTCAATATAAATATTTATATCCAATATTTAAGCTAATAAATTGTCTTAAAATTGCAACCTGAACGGTACCCCATGTAAATGTCAAGGACATGTCTACCCAAAGGCCTATAAACAGGAGAAAATTATCTATTTTTTCCTCAATTATACAATGTTTATTAATAAAGAAATGTTCCGAAGATCACCTACGCCTACTCAGCCACAGTGAGAAAGGCTTGCATTGAAGTGACAGCTAAAACCCAAACAGGATCAAGGTTTCTTTGCCCTAATATAGAACCCAGTTAGTCAGACACAAAAAAAAAGTTTATTTTTTTGAATAGAAATCAGATTTCTTTGAAGGTCTTCTCCCCAAGAAGGACAAAATACTATTTCAGAGCAGAAAGCTCACCTTGTTCTGCTCCTTTGTACCAGAATGGTTTTGGTGCAAAGCAGAGCTAACCCAGGCAGAGCCCAAGACAGAGAATTCAGGAGACATCACTAGCTGCTGACACCTCCCTGCCCATCCCCACCTGGTCCGAAACAGCTGTAGTAGGCTGCCACGACAAATTCGCTGAAGATGCTAAATCATGGAGACACAATTGATATGCAAAAAGATAGCAACCTAAGCAGAAACCTGAGGTCTGCAAGGAGAAGTGCCGAGCTCCGCGCCTGGCCAGAATAAACCCATGCACCATCACAGGCTGGGAAGCAATGGTCCTTCTGGAAAGAACCTGGGCACTATGGTGGGCACCAGACTGAATACAAACTAGTAGTGAGCTCTCACGAGAAATAAGTAAACACTGGCTGGACTATGTTAGGAGATGAAGGCCAGCAGATCAATAGAAGCTACTATATCCCATGTACTTGGCACAAGTGAAGCCACACCTGTAAAATCATGCTCAGTTTCAGGACCTGCCCTCCCTCCCTGACTCCCCAGTTCAAGCGAGATGCTGATGAGGATCCAGCACGAAGCTATCAAGATGACCAGGGCACATGTGAGCTGAGCCTGAAGTAGCTGGCTTTGTTAACTCTCACCAGGAGGCAGCCAAGGAGGTACGTAGGAACAGCCCACAACTACTTGAAGGGCAGTTACAGAAATGACAGAGCCAAACTCTTCTCTGCAGCAGCAGGTGAGACAACAATGTCCACAAATTGAAGCACGGGAAGTCCCAGCTGGACATCAGAAGCAGCTTCCTCACTGGGAGGTGGTGCAGCACTGGCACAGGCTGCCCGGGGATGCTGGAGACACCTCCATGAGGGGCTTTAGAGACTTGGTAAGACACAGCCACAGCTGACCTGACACCCTGGTGCTGGTGTGAGCCCTTCTTCGAGCTCTCTTCCAACCAACAATTCGGTGATCAGCTGAGCTCCTCTCAGTAGCTTCACAGAGACCAGCAAGGTTCACTTCAACCACAATAGCAGATTTTATCAATTTCACGTAATAAGTTCCAATATTACACAAAAGGAATAAGTACTGTAGCCCTACCCAATTTTCCAAACACAAATAAGCTATTATATTCACATAAGTAGCACTTTTTTTTTTGCCTTTGTAACAAAATTATGTCCAGAAAATGTTACAAAATGCCCATGCAAACTAGGTCTGGCCTGAAATCCCCTGGCCCTTTGCAATCCCCTTCCCCAGCAAAGGATCTCCACTTAACAGGATTCTCCAGAAGCAGCAGCTCCTGTTGCTCACCATCTGGTCTTACAGACGGGCTCCCCTCCGGCAGGCTGCGTGGGCTGCAGCCTTTCAGAAGGTACAGCTCCATTTCTGATGTACAACCACTACACTGGCCAGCTCAGGTCATCAGGCAGGGCTGCTTCCACCAAGCACACACTAGCCAATGTGAGACCCACAGTAATCACTCCACTCCCCCAAGTTTAACTTCTAGAAAAATATTTATCTTTTTTTAGGCTCATAGAGCACACAGAGAGAGGGGGAAGGTCTGTCCACTCTTTTCCGCATTCCTGGTTAAACCACATTCACAAGTCCTCCTTTCCCT